CCACTGCAAATCAGGGCCCCCGCTCCCCTGGTTCGACCCCCCCCCCGACCCCCTGAGGGGGGTGGGGGAAGCCGGCTCGAACCACCCCACCTCTCTCCCTCTCTCTGTCTCTCCCTCTCTCTCTCTCTCCCCTTCTATACAGTCACTTATACCATCCCTCTATAGACCTACACATACACATATATGCGCATGTAGATAGATTATACACATGTATATATACACATACATATACAGACAGGTTTGTGCTTATATATATACATGTATATATATACATATATATATATATATGTATGTTCACGCTCGAATCACGCGCGCTTCGCGCGCGCAAAGGTTCTATCAAGTTCTGGTTGTAGTCTCAAGTGTTCGACGTCGGAGGGCATACATTGTCACACGGATCGTGCCCCTCGGGGAGCTCCATCCACGGCTCCAAATACTGGATTGGCCTGGCGTCCCCCCGCCCCATGGACAGAGGTCCCCAGGCGCCCCACAAAGATCTCCACCTACGTCCCCAGGGACAAGGTTCGCGTAACAACGCGCCCCTCATGAGGACCGTGCCCAGCAGCTGACTGCATTTGCGGCACCAGAGGGGTACTTCATAGCGTCGTCCGGCTTACTTCGGCACACCACTCACACGGATCGTGGCCCGCAGGGGGCTCAACGGACGGTCCACGAGGCAAGGTTCGCATGCCGCCCCCCCCGACTTCGGCACACCTCTCACACGAATCGCAGCCAACAGAGAGCTTCACACATGGCCCCAGAGGCAGGGTGCGCATTGCGCCCCCCCCGCCCATTGCGGCACACCCCATCACGCGAATCGTGCACAAAGGGACACCGCCGAAAAGCCCAGAGACAGGGCTCGCACAGCGCCCCCCGCCTATGTCAGCACACCAGTTGCACGAATCATGCCCCAGACGGAGCTCCACCTATGGCACCAATGGGCAGCTTCGCATGGCGTCACCCCGCCACTTCCGGAACATGCCTCGCACAGGTCGTGCCCTGAGCAGGTCCACCTGCGGCCTCAGTGAGCGTCTTTGTGCGGGGGCATCCGAATTATTCGGCACACCCTTCACGCGGGTCGTGCCCCACAAAGAATTAATTCAGCGCACCCGTGCACGCGTGCTCCGCAGCAGCCAGCTTTCCGCATGGCCCCCTGCGGCGCGCAGTGCATGAAGAGAGACCCGCGCCCTGCGCAACACATGACTGCAGAAGGATGGGCCCGTCGCCACGGCAACTGCTTGCTTGCCTATGGCCTTTGGCCCAGACCGCTACCGTGCCCAAGCTTTGGGCCAGAGGATTCTTCGATACCCATAATTCGGGGTCCGTCGGCAGGAGGAGGAGGAGGAGGAGGAGGAGGAGGAGGAGTAGAAGGGAGGAGGAGGAGGGGGAAGAGGAGGAGGAGGAGCCTGGGGGCCTCTCGGGGGCCTGCCGGCGGCCGCAGGGGCCCTCTCGGAGCGGAGGGCTCGAAGCGTGAGCTGGAGTTCCCCCTCGCTGCTTCTGCTTCTGGGCCCTCTGGGCCGTCTTGGACGCCTCTTGGATCGTCTTGGGGCCCTCTGGGCCGTCTTGGACGCTGTTTCTGCTTCTAGGCCCTCTGGGCCGTCTTGGGCGCCTCTTGGACGCCTCTTGGGGCTCTCGTGCGCCGTCCTGGGGCCCTCTTTGGGGGGCCGCTGGAGGCGTCTTGGGGCGATCGCTGGGGCCCGGCCCGCTGCGGACGCTCTTGCGACCCAGAGCGGGAATGTGCTGAACATGTACGTTTCCAATGGTTGCCTCCTGGGGCCCTCTCGGGGCGCACCTTGGAGCATTCTAGTTGTTTTGAGCGGTGGGGGGGAGGCCCCGGAAACTCCGGGATGAGTCAAAAAGTGGGGGGGAATCCAAGAGGATGTTCCAGCCCGGGCCCTTGGCCCCAGCTAGCCCGGCACCATACACACACATATGTATATATATAGCTGTGTGTATGCATGTATGTGTGTATGTATGTATGCATGTCTGCATGTCTGCATGTCTGCATGTCTGCATGCATGCATGTATGCATGCATGTATGTATGTATGTATGTATGTATGTATGTATGTGTATGTATGTGTGTATGTATGTGTGTATGTATGTATGTGTGTATGTGTGTATGTGTGTATGTGTGTATGTATGTATGTATGTATGTATGTATGCATGCATGCATGCATGCATGCATGCATGCATGCATGCATGTATGTATGTATGTATGGATGTGTGTATGTATGTATGAATGTACGTACGTACGTACGTATGTATGTATGTATGTATGTATGTATATGTATGTATGTATGTATGTATGTATGTATGTATGTATGTATGTATGTATGTATGTGTGTATGTGTGTTACTGAATGTATGTACAGAATAACCTCACTTAGACATCCACTATGATATGATAAACCTGAATACACAAGACATGGATATCATACATAATACGACACCACATATTGTTACAGCAGCACCTACTGTACTATCATATGATATCGTACAACAGCATGCTATGACTCATCAAGCACTTACATGCAGCATGGGACAGCATGACACCACATACAGTACCATGATACAATACCATGTGTCATATCACACTAGATCTCCATATTAGCGATTAACTCCACGGCTGTTAAGTAAAACACATGCTGCTGCAATATGATGTGATGTAATGTCATACTACGTCACAGTGCATACAATCATTTGCACATCATGTTACAAACGACTATATCATATCAACACGCGCGGTGATATACTATCTCGTGTTGTGCCATGGAGCAGCACCCCTAAAATACAGACTACGCAGAGTATACAATAGACTACCGGCCACCACAATACGATAGACACAGAGTATGACACCACACGAGATCTACAATCTGATATATGATATTGCCATGTATAGCGTTATGCTGAATATACATAATACCGTATACTAGGAACGAATGTAAGGTCATGTGAAATGCCGGGCTATACTATAATATGATATGCATTAATAGGTTACGCTATACGTATATGTACAGTTGTGTACGTACATGTACATTATGTATATGACAAACATATGCCACCTACATATACAATTTGATCCCCTGCCTCCAATCCCCACTCCCCCTTCCCTTTCCCTCTCCTTTCCTCACGACTCCCCCCTTGTCACGACGCAGCCTGCACGAGGCTGCTCGGCCGACGGAGCCTGTTTGCGAGCGGCTGCACGTTGTGCTGGGCTTTCGCTGCGAGATCGAAGCTTCCAAGGAGGGAAAGGGGAACATGGAGAGGAAGATGATCCAGGGCTGGACCTAAACGTTGTTGTTCGGTTTGTTTTCGTTGTGTTTTCGTTTTGTCCTACGTGTTTTCCTGCACCTACCTGCCAAAAACGAAAAACGAAGCACAGCCGAGGTCCAGCAAAACAACGCTTAGGTCAAGCCTTGAAATGATCTAAACTGTTGGAGGACGTCAGGCGATGGCGGTCGATGCGTGCCGAGGCCCCCTCCTTGTAGCCGATGCGCATCTCCGCCTCGTAGAACCGATTCAAAGTGGAATCCATGAACAGCTTTTCCAACGTGTTTTGCGTGGCACTCTGATCGAAGATGGACACGATGTCTTCCCACGGGAGGTCCTCCTTAGAGCCGAAGATTCGGATGTAATCTTCCAGCAAGATGGCGTCCTCCTCGCTGGGCATCCTGGGCCAGCGGCTCAAGTCTCGTCGTCGTCGTCGTCGTCGTCATGCTCCTCCTCCCCCTTCTCCTCCTCCTCCTCCTCCTCCTCCTCCTCCTCCTCCTCCTCACCTCTTCTACGCCGCTTGTGCGACGGTTGTGCGCCGCAACACGCAGACCGGTACGCTAGCCGCGGCCGCCGTAAGCGCTGCTTCGCCCGCGGCGGTCAAACAGGCCACAATGTCCGACGTGTTTTCGTCATACTGTTGCTGACCCTCCCGCTGCATCTTCTCTTCCTGCTCCTTCTCATCATGAGCATCCTCCTTTCATGGTTCTTCCTCATCTTCGGCCCCCTCGCCCTTCATTATCTTAAACTGCTCATCCTCTCGTTTTTCCTCCTTGTTTCCTCCTCGCCCGATCCTCCTCCCACCCTGTTTTCCTTCTCGACTTGCCCGTCCCCTCTTCCCTCTTCGCACTGATGCTGTTGCTGCTACTTTTGCTGCTCGTCGTCATCTGTCCCCCCCTCTCCTTTCTCACCCATCTCCCTCTCTTCATCGTCATTGTCCTCGACTTCCTATTCGTGTTCCTCCCAGGATTAACTAGTCCCGAGAGGGCAGACGCGGAGTGTAGATCTGCAGCCCGCACGGCGACTGGACCCGAAAACACAAAATCTGGTAACCCCCCAAGGCGGCAGTCTGTTGCGCCGCACGGAAAACTGCAGCGCGCACCGCTCGCACTACTGCCAACCCTCGCTGCACGTGAACTTGACCTCTGTTCGCACCACTGCAGCGACCGCATGTACCCAGAGACACCGAGATTGACAGGGAACTGGTGAACCACAAAAACGACTCCCGCCGTGACGACCATGGCACGTTGGCTTCCGACACCGCGTGGACTGCTCACCCCTGGACGACCGCGGCGTTCCAATTGGGCAGGTTGTTTGATGGCGGCCGGTCCCAGGCCGCTGGGGGGCTGGCGGACGAAGACCGGTACAAGACGAACTTCTCCGTCGTCGGGGACGCCTGCCCTAGGGAGGCTGACAAGCTTGTACCCCGCGGTGCCACTGTGCGGATATCACCGTCCAGCCGCCCTGAGGCGCGCGCCCCCGACAGCAGAAAGTTTGTGCTCTACCCTTCTTCGCACCCCGAAACACATAGGCAACCTTGAACACCCGCGCAGGGCTCGCCGTCGCGTCAACGCGACGCGGCCCTGCCGTGCGAAGCACGAAACACGCCTGCTGCGGGAGCGCTGGAGAGTCAGAAAATGAGGCCCGATCTGGAATCCTGCTCCATCTTGTTCCAAACCTCTGTTGTGGCAAGATTTAGTAATTCGTGGATGCTCGTGAATCCATTATCCGAAAAATTCTTTGCATACCTTCGGCCGTCGGCAATCCACCTCATCATCGGGCGTCCGGGCCTCCGTTTTGCATGATTTTCCGGGTCGTGTTGCGGCGTCCATGGGATCTCCTGTCGGATCCATCCGTGCTCGCCTGTGGTGCTCACTTCTTGACTCCAGCACAAGCTACGCAGCTTCGCAATGAAAGCCCAGAGCTTAAACGCAACCGCTCAATTGCATCCTCTGCGTCTCGTGACTAGCACGCTTGATCCGTTGTGCCCGTGGCTCCAGCGATTCGGGCGTTGTCCCATCGTCGTGCACCAGTGGTGTGGAAGGCGTGGAATCTGACGTCGTGCTGTCTCCCTCGTCCGCGTTGTCGTCGTCGTGCTGGTGGTTGCTGTCCTATCGGTTGTCGGCATTGGCCTGGGTCGGGTATGGCGCCGGCTGTGGCGCGTCTCGGTACTCGTGCGATCCTGCGAAGCATCTGCCTTTGCGTTCGCCGCAGTCGGTTTCCAATCTCAGTCGCGAGGTCCCTAGCTTCGCAGCCGCGCAAAATAGTCGGCGCGGTGGCTCCGTTGAAGAGTCACAACCACAGCGATCGCGAATCTTCCTCCCCCGCTAGCTCGCCCGCGAGCGCTGGAACTTCCGCCGCGCCGCCCCGGCGCGGCTTTCCAGCTCGGTGGCATGGAGCGTGCTGTTTTGCAGTTGTCGGCCTAAATACTTCGCGCCGTGGCAGGGTGGTAGAACTTCGGTCTTCATGCCGCGCATGTGCAAATAGTCTTGGGCGCGTGTGCCGCGGGGTGGTCGGTGGCCACCGTGCGCGATTTTTGTTTTCTTGCCCGGGTGCAATGCCGGGCCCGCGTGGCTCGCCTCAGAGGTCAAGCCGGCGAGCATGTCTGCAAGGTGGTGGAATGACGCGGCGATTAGCAAGATGCCGTCTGCGAAACACAAAATGGCAAGACGGCCATCCGCGTGTACCTAGAGCTTGAAGTCGTCGCTCTTGGATGCCAATTTCGCGCTGGCGCGTCTCGTTACGCTCTTTGGTACGTTAGCGAAGAGCGAGGAACTCAAGGGGCCTCCTTGTTTCATTCCTCGCGCGATAGCGAAGGGGCTGCTGATTCGGTCTGCGCGGACTGATGCTGTCTGCTATTCGTAGAGATCTGATGACGCGCGAATGTATGGCAGGGGCGCTTTCTGCGCTGCCGTCGACTCCCGAATGCTCGCGGGCGCGATGCGGTCGAGCGCTTTCTTGGAATGCATGGCGGCTGGCCACGTTGGAATTTGTCAGTCGTCTGCGACCGCCTGCGACGTCGACGTCGTGAACAAATCCTGAATAGCGCTTCGGCTGAATCGGGCGCCTGCTTGGTCCGCGCTTCGTTTGCAATCTAGATGCGGGCGCAATCGGTCGCAGAGAAGCCGCGATAAGAGTTTGCATAACACTGAGATGCTCGCAAGTGGCATGTAATTCTATGGCGGCGCTGTATACCCCGCTTGTGCGTGGACCCTCGGTAACCCCGCGCCGTCAGCCCGCGGGAGAAGGGGGGCCAGGTGGGGCGGCACTTTTGTCGCGCGCGGAATTGCGAATGGATCCGTTGACCCTCTCGATTTCAAAATTTAGGCCGGCGCCCCAGAAGAGCCCCGAGCATCTGTTGGACCGCAATTGCCGGAGTAAGATGGGGGGGAAGCGTCTGCATGCGGTCGGCGATCTTGCCGGCGGTCGCCCGAGCTGCCTGCGCGGCGGGCGTCGCTGCATAGGTTTTCGTGGACTGTGGCGAGAATGTCGGTAATGAATTGCCAGTCGCGCCGCGCGTTGCAATGCTCGTTGGACGCGCGCTTGTTGGCGGCCTCAGCCCCGCTGATCCGCTTCAGGCCCCCGCGCTTCGACGGGGCGCGCGAAACCGTCACCGCGCGCGTCGCTTTCTCGACCGCCCGGGGCGAATCTCTGCGCGCTGCTGCTTCGTGGCTGGTTTCTCGACCGCCCGTGCCTTCGCAAAGCTGGCTGCGCGCTGCTGCTTCGTGGCGCCGCGTGTCTCGCCGTCTCTGGAGCAGCTGCTCGACGGCGTCGCTGGCCGGGCGGCGGCTGCTCTGGCGGTCGGCAGTCGGAGGTTGGATTTGCGGCGGCACCTTCCTGATCACACCGTCGATTTGTTTACATTAAAACTGCGTCTTCGCGTCGAACAAGAAGTCGCCGAGTTCGCCGGTAAGTATGCCTCGGCACCTCGTTGCGCCCGCGGGCGGCCGCGCGGGCCGCGGCCGACGTCGGCGCTCTCGCCGCGACGCTTTCGCCCCCGCGTGGCCGCTCGCAGTGGGGATGCAGGACAATTGCCCCGCGCGGTGGTCTGAACCTATATCTACATCGTAATTGGACTGGCAATCTTCCACTGGCTTTCCAACCTCCTGTTCGCAATGGGGCGGTCGATCTGATGATTTCCCATCGGCGGCGGCGCGCGCGCAATCAGCTAGCTCTTCGCGTCGCGTCGTTTGCGCTGGCGCGCGCCTGCGAGGCGTCGTCGTTGATTGTCAATTCGCTGCTTTAGACGCTGCCCCCCGGCGCTGATGGGGAGCGCGACCCGCGTTGCCCCGGCGCGCGTCGCGGGTCTCCCGGGCTCCGCGTTCGGCCTGGGCGTTGTAGTCTACGCCGATTGCCGCCATCATTCGCGCAGCGCGTGCCTCTTCGCATAACTGCGCAATGCGTCTCGCGTCGCCAGGGCGCGCCCGTCGCCGCGCCAACTGCGGGAAAAACGCGCGCCAGTGATTCGCGACCCAAGAAGCCCCCGCTATGTCGAAGACCAACGGTCCTACGGGGGTAGAACAATCATATGTACTACGTCGAATTCGATGCGCGATGACGCCCACTCCGCACTAGTGGCCGGCGCGCCCAGACGCCTAGAAACATGCCCACCGCGCGCGGCCCCAAAACTCGTTCCCCTTTTGTCCTCCACGCTTCGCCATGCAGACGCATCCCGTCCCAATCCATTGAGCTCGCGACGAACTTCGGCCGCCCTGGCGTCGGGCGACAACCCGCAATCGCTTGGCTGATAGATTGCAGAAATGCGCTCGTCTGCGACGGCAGAGGCGGGTGCCCGGGTGCCGCTGCTGGATCATTGCGCCTCTGGAGCTGAAAATGCCCCCCGCGCGCCTGGAGATCTGCGTCGACGGGCGAAGGCCGAAAGCTAGCGGCGGGGGGGTAGCGGGGGCGGCCAAGAGGGGGGGTGTCCAAGAAGAAGGGGTGCAAATCATGACCGGCGGCGCGAGCGCGGCCCAGCGGGGCGGCCAAGGACGTAATGAAATAAGAAGAGGCGCCGTGTAATCTGGGGAAATATCGCGGCCCCCGCCATGACATCCACCCCCCCTAGTCATCGCCCCCCTCTCTGCCGCCCCCAAGATTATGCATCGACAGCTGGTGGTGGGCGCCTAGGATACGGGGCTGGGGGCTGGAGGTCGGCCAGATGGGATCGGGGGTCATGGGCGGGCGCCGACTGCTGGAGGCGGCATATCGGGCGCCGACTGCTGGCGGTGGACGGCGGGAAAAACAAGCTGAACGTTGGAGGTCGGTCAGGCGAGGCTGGAAGTGGACGGGCGGGCGTCGACGGCTGGAGGTGGATGCGAAGGTTGGATGTCGAAAATTGGCGGCGGATGTTGGGGGTCGGAACATGGTCGAGTTGGAGGTCGACGAGTGGCGGTCGAGTGTTTGGCGGGAGACTGCGCGTCGACAGCAGGTTGCGAGTGCTGGGATGCGGGAGCTGGAAGCTGGAAGTCGGTCAGGCGAGGTTCGAGGCCGATTGGTGGGGGTCGAAAGATCGGCGCGGGAGATGGGGCATCGATAGGTGGCGACGCATAGCGGGGGTCGCAAGGTGGGCGCTGGAGGTCGGTCGGGCGAGGCCGGAGGTAGATTAGTGGGAGCTTAGGAACGGAAGATTGGAAGTCGACTCTCGGTTGTAGGCGCTGGGGCGCCCGCGCGGCGGGACAGGCGGGGCCGGGGGTCGATGGGCGGGCGTTGACAGTTGGAGGTGGCTATGGGCGCTGGGGGTCGGCAGTCGGGGGGCGAGCGACGATTGGTCGATGTCGGAGGTCGGCGGGCGAAAGTCGAAAACTGGAGGCGGATGGTTGGAGGTCGCGCGCGAGGTCTAGGGCCGGAGATGGAAGTCCACAACTGCGAATTGGATATGGATAAGAAGGAGCTGGAGTCGGAAGGGCGATGTCACTCGCCCCGACTGCGCATGGAGCCGCGCCAGTTCGCGCCGCGCCATGCTGCGCGTCGGCGCCTGCCAAACTGGATTCAAATGCCCGTCGCCGGAGCTGCAAGATGCGCAACGGAACGTCGCTAATCACGACGCTGTGGTTCGTCGTGGTCCGCCTGGTCGCCCCCCGCGGTTGGGCTGGGCGCGATGCCAAGGGGCACGGTGACCTTCGCGTCTCGAATATTTCCAGCGGTCGTCGGAACGCGCGATCTGCAGATCAGAGGAGTCGAAGCAGGGGCCAGGGTCGAAGTGCGGAGACTGATGCGAAACTTGTGGTGAAGCGTGTCCTCGTTCAAAGGTGACGATATATTCTTATGTAGTGATGTTCTGGCGCAGGTGGTCGCTCGCCGCGTCTTGCGGGTGCTGCGGGCGTCGGGGAAGATGGATCGGGGGAGCGGGGTCGGGGTGTCAGCGCTGTTGTCTTGTCTGCGCGCGCTACGCCACGTCGATTTCTGTTGCTGTGTGGGCTCCTACAAATCATTGTCCATGTCGGGGTCGGGGCCCGCAAAGTGTCAAAATATTTGTCCACGTCCTCTTGCGCCGATTTGCCCAGGCTGGATGTATGCCGTTGTCCGCGGGAGTCTACCAAACAATTGTTTTATTTCTGATTGCGGCCATCCGTCTCGTCAAAAATATCGAACCAGTGTTTGTCTCGTGCTTTGGCATATGAGATACTTGGTACTGTGTAGAGTCGAGCCATTCGTCGTCGATGCGTTGTTGCGTTGTTTTTGTTGTGTTTGAAGAACCAGTCCACCCAGCCACTTGTATCCTCCATTTCGTTAACCTCCATATGGATTAATAATTTGTTGGGCACGAATGGAGACGTAATCCCCCGCATCTTTGAAGACGGTCTGGAAATCTCATATTTGACGCCTCTGATGTCGCCAAGTATCTGGGCTAAGATGCTCTCCTGCTTCTTCGCCAATTCGTCGGACTTGAGATTGTTCCTCGAATCTTACGGCAACCACCTGTTTGCTTTGCCGTCCGTGTCGGTGTTGGCACGGCCATTGCTCACGGTCGTGCTAAAATTGTTTTTGATGTTTATGATGTCGATATTCAACGTCTCGTTTGTTTGTTCGACCTGTTTGGCCGTGTTCTGGATGCTTGTGACAGTTGTCACCGCTTGCTCGGCTGTGGCCTGTTCGGTGCGTGCCACTTGTTAGCCTGAGCAGAAGACTTGTCAAGTTCGAAAGCATGTCGTAGATGTTATAAGCCTTCGCGTCCTTCGATATGTTGTCTTTGTTGGCTCCAGTGTTCAATCCTTTCACATCCGGTCACCGCCAACAAAACCTTCGTCCGTGCGGACCCCGCTTTTTACCATCACAGGCTGGCTCAAGAAAGTTCACGATGAAAAAGGCAAGTGCGTTTATGGGATTGTCTGGAGCATTATTAATGGGACAGCCTTGAGCCTAGAGCCTTATACCTGCCGTACGAGGGGAGGAACTTTCGCAAGGACGGACCATCCCAATGCTCCTGGAGGCCTACAACGACATGTCGTTAGAACTACAGAACGGTCTAACAACAAAGGCAGTGGTCTTAGAACAGAGCGCCGACGTCTGAAAACAATACGGTCTGAACCAAACATGTTATAATAACGATATATGCGAACACACAAAAGGACATTGGAAAAACCGGGCCAACTCCAATCCGTCATCCCAGTTCCTCTGTGCAATCTCGGTCCCAGCGCCGGCGTGGAGGGCTGGCCCCTGGCCGCTCTTTCCGGCTCCCCCGCGGTCCGTGGCCCTGGCCAGCCCCCAAATGTTCTCACATTGCTTCGGGCTCCAACCTCCCCAGCCACTTATTCCGACATCTCTCCAACCTCCCAAAACATACATAGTTTTTTTCGCTAACCGTCCCCAGACCCTTTCCCGCCGCCAGCTTGTCCCCGTGGGCGACTTGCTGCGCTCGAACACGAAGTCCACGAACAGGCTGAGCTTCGCCTCCGTCGGGGGGGCCCCGAGCGGTGCGGTGACCACTCAGTGGGGATTCGGGCTTAGTGGGCCCTGGAAACGACAGGGCCGTTTTTTTACCGGTTCCGTTTTGCCGGTTTCTTGCCAATTCCGACGCCGTCTTTTACCGGTTCCGTCGCCGTTTTTCGACCGGTTCCGGCTCCGGTTCCAATCCTGGAGCCTTTTTTTGCCGTTTCTGGTCGCCGTTTTTTTTTGCCGTTTCCATTTTCAAGAGACACCTTCTCGGAAACGGTGAAAAAACGGCCCTGCCGTTTCGGGGGCCCACTAAGGATTCGGGTTGACCGCGCAGTTTGGGCATGTGGGCACTTCTCCGAGGATGCCTCGGGCAACCGGGGCCTCCCAAAGTCGCGCGGCAGCGGGCCGTGCGGTGAGGTCGTGGGGCACTCCGAGGTCACCGCGCGGTCTGTCGCCGCACGGCGTTTGGCACCCCTATAGCTCTGGCAGATGCGCTCGCTCGGCCCGGCCGGCAGGCCGAAGTCTACGCGCAGGGCGTGGCACGGAGAGAATCGGTGCTCCAAACGCTCTTGATACGTACGCCCCCAAATCTGATCGGACAGGAACGGAAGCACCACTCAGTCCAGTGGGCTTGATGGGCGAAGAAAGAGAAAAGGAAAGCGAGGGCGACGAGGCGATGACGAGGACGACGTGGAGAATGTGAAAATAGCGAGGAGGAGCATGAGGACAACGAGGAGGCAGAGAAGCACAAGGACGAGGACGAAGAGAACGAGGGCGATAACGAGGAGGAATGCGGAGGACGATGACGATGACGACGACGACGGAGGACAGTAGGAGGCAATTGGAGAAGGACGTTGAATCAGGAGAGGGACCTGGTGACCTTATCGGGCTACCCTGGGGGCTCCTGGCGCCACGCTTGTCTTGGGGCCTGTTGGGGGGTTCTTGGGGGCCTCCTGGGTCCACTTGTAGGCTTCTGGGGTCTTCTTGGGCTAACTGGGCGCGTCGTGGGGTTCTTTGGGAGCTTCCTTGGGCCGTCTCGGGGCCATCTTGGGCCGTCTGGGTGCTCTCCTGGGCCGTTTGGGGGCCTCCTGCGGCGCTCTGGGAGTCTCCTCAGGCCCGTCTTGGGCCGTGTTGGGGCTCTCCTGAGCTGTCTGGGTGCCTCCTGGAGCGTTCTTGGGAGTCTCTTGGGGCCCTCTGGGGCGTCTTTTGGGCCCGTTCGAACGCCCTCCGGGAGCGATTCTAAACGAAGTCGATTCGAAGTCCCCTCCGGGGCCGATTTGTTGAGGATGTCTCGAGCGAAACAGCCAGTGTTCAGACATCCGCCAACGAATCCCACCAGCCCTTTAGGGCGTAGGTGGTCTAGGGAGTTTCCTCTGCCAACCCCCTTCTTCCCCTTCGGGGAGGGGTTTACCCCTCCCCTTACCCCTCCCCACTGACCTGGACGGGGCCGGTCGCGAGGTGTCAGAGCGTCCAAGATGGCCCAAGACAGCTCCAAGAGCGAACAGGCGAGAAAACACAAAACATTGATTTTACCTAGGTTTTGGAAGGATTTTGGCATCTTGGGGGGGTCCAAGAGGCGACTCGAGGCACTCTGGAGGGGCGGGGCTAATAAGGAACCCCCCCTTCTTTGATAGATCTCCTCCAAGATGGCCCAAAGAGCGCCCCGAAGGCTCCCAAGAGCGCCCCAAGAGCGCCTCAAGAGGGCCCCAAGAGACCCCAAGAGGCCCCCAAGAAGCCTCCAAGACGTTGCCAAGAGACCCCCAAGAGGCCCCAAGAGAGTCCAAGATGACCCAAGACGGCTCCAAGAGCGAAAAGGCGAGAAAACACAAAACATTGATTTTACCTAGGTTTTGGAAGGATTTTGGCCTCTTGGGGGGGTCCAAGAGGCGACTCGAGGCACTCTGGAGGGCCGGGGCTAATAAGCAACCCCCCCTTCTTTGATAGATCTCCTCCAAGATGGCCCAAAGAGCGCCCCGAAGGCTCCCAAGAGCGCCCCAAGAGCGCCTCAAGAGGGCCCCAAGAGACCCCAAGAGGCCCCCAAGAAGCCTCCAAGACGTTGCCAAGAGACCCCCAAGAGGCCCCAAGAGAGCCCAAGAGGCTCCCAAGACGGGTCCAAGAGCGAAAAGGCGAGAAAGCAACAAACATTGGTTTTACCTAGGTTTTGGAAGGATTTTGGCCTCTTGGGGGGGCCCAAGAGGCGACTCGAGGCACTCTAGCGGAGCAGCGCTAATTGGATACCCCCCCTTCTTTGATAGATCTCCTCCAAGATGGCCCCAAGAGCGCCTCGAAGGCTCCCAAGAGCGCCCCAAGAGCGCCCCAAGAGGGCCCCAAGAGGCCCCACGACGCCCCCAAGAGGCCTCCAAGAGGCCCACAAGAGACCCCCAAGAGGCCACAACAGGCTCCCCGAGATACGCAAGAGGCCCCCGGGACCGCCAAGAGGCCCCAAGGACGGCCCAAGAGGCCCCCAAGCTCGCAATTGTCCTCCTCCTCCTCCTCCTCCTCTTTTTCTTCCTCCTCCCTCCTCCCCCTCCCCCTCCTCCTCCTCCTCCTCCTCCTCCTCCTTCTCCTTTTCCTCCTTCTCGTCCTCCTCGTCCTCGCAGTCCTCCATCTCCTCCTCCTTCTATTCCTCCTCCTCCTCCTGCTCCTCCTCCTGCTCCTCCTCTTCCTCCTCCTACTCCGACGACGACGGCTCCTCCTACATCCTCCCCCTCTTGGGGTATATGACGGCTCACCCCGCCCTTTGTTCTTCTGCATGCTCCCCCGCTTCCCTCATAACCTCCACTCCCCTGGGACTCATTTCTGGACGGGCTGGTGGGGATACGCGAAGCGTCTAGAATTCCCAGGTGCGGCGCGGAGCCATTAGCAAAGGAAACTTGAACTCAATTCATAATTATCCCGGCAAAGCAACCTAACAGCGATGTATAGGAGCATATCTGGAAGCATTCCCCTTAAGATTCAGATGAGAATCCAGTTGTAGAATTGTGCTGTTCTCGCAGTCGTAGTCGCATTCGCGATGACAGTCGCAGTGGCAACGGCAGTCACAGACACAGCCTCAGCCTCAGCCTGCCTCAGCCTCAGCCTCAGCCTGCCTCAGCCTCAGCCTGCCTCAGCCTCAGCCTCAGCCTGCTTCAGCCTCAGCCTCAGTCTGCCTTCAGCCTCGGCCAGCCTCAGGCTGCCTCAGCCTCAGCCTGCATCAGCCTCAGCCTCAGCCTCAGCCTGCCTCAGCATCAGCCTGCCTCAGCCTCAGCCTCAGCCTCCTCAGCATTCAAAATGTGGCCCGGGAATGGAGTTCTGGGAACTCGAAGAACACGAAGTGGCCTACAGTTGGCTCCGGGCATTCAAAATCATGCCCAGGAATGGAGTTCTGGGAACTCGAAGACCACGAAGTGGCCTACAGTTGGCTCCGGGCATCCAAAATCTGGCCCGGGAATGGCCTACAGTTGGCTCCGGGCATTCAAATTCATGCCCAGGAATGGAGTTCTGGGAACTCGAAGACCACGAAGTGGCCTACAGTTGGCTCCGGGCATCCAAAATCTGGCCCGGGAATGGAGTTCTGGGAACTCGAAGACCACGAAGTGGCCTACAGTTGGCTCCGGGCATCCAAAATGTGGCCCGGGAATGGAGTTCTGGGAAGTCGAAGAGCACGAAGTGGCCTACAGTTGGCTCCGGGCATTCAAAATGTGGCCCGGGAATGGAGTTCTGGGAAGTCGAAGAGCACGAAGTGGCCTACAGTTGGCTCCGGGCATTCAGAATGTGGCCCGGGAATGGAGTTCTGGGAGGTCGAAGAGCACGAAGTGTGTGACTGTATGCGAAAAACGATCCCCGCCGGCAAACCCCAACTCGTCCCCAACGGCTGCCCTGACCCCCCTGTGGAGTCATCTGATGCTCTCTTTTGAGCCTACTAGAAACCTATCAGTCTTCGCTGTTAGGTAAAAAACACGACTGCCGGCATGCTTCGCAAGAGTTGCTGTTTTGAGATGGGCTGGTGGGGATACGCGAAGCGTGAAGAATTTCTCTTCACTGCTGGAAATGCCCCGATTAAAAGACGAGCGCGCCAGGGTCCTGCAAATGAGGCGGGAGCCCCATTTTGAAAAGGAGGCGCCACCCATGCGTCGAACTATACGGACGGCGACGAAGTAGGACCAGTACGAAAGCCCTACGAACGTCTCAAACGAGAGACCCGATTTGACAAGAAGCCGCCATCCATCCGCGTAGCTGATGGCAGCGTTCAAGACGAATGCTCACTACGCAAAAGCGAGAGCAATATAAAATTACTCTGAATGTATCCCGGGATTGCCGTTCCAGACAGCCAGATAGCCCGGCGTGTATACGCGGTGTACCTGTTGTGTGCGATTTTTCCAAATGTAGCCTGGGAATGGCGTTCTGGGAGGTCTCGGAGCACGAAGTGTGTGACTCTTGCATCCTGTTATTCCGAATGTGGCCTGGGAATGGGGTTCTGGGATGCCAAAGAGCTCGAAATGTGTGACTGTTGCATCCCGTTAATCAGAATGTGGCCCGGGAATGGAGTTCTGGGGTGTCAAGTACGAGGAATTGTATGACTGTTGCGTCCGGCTATTCCGAATGTGGCCCGGGAATGGCGTTCTGGGAGGTCAAGGAGCACCAAGTGTGTGACTGTTGCATCCGGTTATTCAGAATGTGGCCTGGGAATGGGGTTCTGAGAGGTCGACGAGCACGAAGTGTGTGACTGTTGGTGAAAAACGAGCCCGGCACAGGCCCGGCCGGCAACTCCCAACGCCTGCCCGGACCCCCCTGTGGAGTGATCTGTGAGCTCTTTTGAGTCAACTAGAAACCTATCAGTCTTCGCTGTTAGGTAAAAACGGTCCGCGCCAGAGGCGCGATCCGTCATCCGCCAACTCCTTGTTGTTCTCTAGGCGTGTGAGATTTCCCCCCCGCATCATCCCTCCCCCCCAGGGACCCTAAACCGGGAGTTTGACCCCCCCTGGCCGCGGACGACCCCGGCACGAACGCGCCATGGGTCCATAGAAGGCCGCCCA